ACCAAGAGGTCTGGATCTCAAGTCTTAGATCCAAAAAGGCTAAAAATGGCAAGGACTTAATCAAGAAACACTTAATCCATTAAGTCTCAAGCTCATTTTCTCTAGAAGAGCTTATAACACCAAAACCATCCTAAAGATTGATGCTTTTTAGACTCGCATGTCCAATGCAAGTCTTGGACTCAACTTAGGTCAAAATGGGATTTTATGACCAAAATCTTATGCATGACACAAACCAACCACCAAACTTCAGATCCAAACCATGAATTACTCCAAATGATCCAGAGACTCATAAAGTTGCAACCTTTATGAAATCTCTCCATCCCATCTAACAAGATCAAGAAGAAAATGGGACAAAATACAAGATCTAGCACTTTATAATTAAAAAACTTGGAACTTGGGGACTTGCAAGAGTCCAGAAGATGCACAATAAGATGGTGAGAAAAGTTGCTTGTTGAATCCAAGTCTAAAAGTCACCTATTTCTTCTTTTAATCCCAAAAATCAACACAAAAAGCTTAGAGAGCAACAATGGAGGTTAGGGTTTTCTTGGAGGCTGAGAGAGTGTGATGGAGGCGGAGGGTGAGCAACGTTAGCCATCACATTCCCTTAAATAGGGCGTAAACCCCAGATATTAGGGTTTCTCATTAAACAACTGCTACACCGTGACGGTTAGTTAAAATCCACGACACATCGACCATCACCACGTCATGGGATGCCTTCACCACGACGTGGTACCGCCCAAAATCCAAAATATATTAATTTAAATACCTCTAAGAATCCGGATGTTACATAAAACATAGCATTAACCAAATTCTCGTAGCAAAGAACAACATTTAATCATATTTCAAGTAGCAAAAAAATATATATATTAACCATATTTCAAATTTCAAGTAGCAAAAAACAACACTTAACCGTATTTCATATAGCAAAAAAACATTACATTAACCATATTTCAAATTTCAAGTAGCAAAAAAACAACACTTAACCATATTCTAAGTAGCAAACAAACATTACATTAACCATATTTCAAATTTCAAATAACAAAAAAACATTACATTAACCAAATAGTTCCAACAAAAGCAAAAAAAAAAAAACCTAACAAATAGTTCCAACACAAGCAAAAAAACCTTCAACAATGGTTTGAAAGCAAGAAAAATCATCGGACAATCTTTATGTACTTTAAAACTTCTAAACTTGTACCCATCATCTTGATCCATCATCGTAATATCTCGGGATGTCACAACTGACATTTTGCTAGGAAATTCTACTCTCAGGTAATCATTCACCTACTGTAATAACTTGTACTCTGAGAGAATATCATACTCTATGCTCATTCAAATACATCTCACGTGTTCAACTAAGGGCTGAAAACCCTAAAAATCCCAGTTTAAGTTCACTATGGACTAGGATTCTTTTATTGGGCCTAATGGACCAATAAACCTTCAACTTGAACTACTTTGGGCCTAGAAACCCTAATTGGGTTCTAATTGGACCCACACTCATAAAACTTAACATTTTGGGCCATAATGAGCTTAAAATGGATTAGTTTACCCTAATCGGCCTTATTGGACCATAACAACTCCAATTAACCCTAATGTACCTAAAACCCATCCCTTTATCTTATGTTGGGCCGTAAGTACTTCCAAGGGCCCAATGGGACGAAAATTTATAATTAGACTTCATAAAAATCGAGCAAGGCCAATGTTGGGCTCAAAACCATTTCATTTTCATTTCTCTTAGCCCATTCTCGGCCCAACATCAATTAACAAAAAAAAAAACTAATGGGAGAAAATGGGGTGACACCTCATAAATAATTGTTGGATATCCATGCAAGAGTGCATGTATCCATGCACCTCTCACATCACACCCCTTAAAGAGTCAACTTATCTCCCTCTCATCTCTCACTCTAATTCTCGACCACACTCTCATTTCTCCAACCTCTCTCTTTTCAAACTCAACAATACTTCTCTAGATCATCTAACATTCCTCCATCCACTTTCCTCAAGAAAACCGTGAGTATAAGGAAGATCTTCAAGAGAATCACTTCAAGCTTCATTTTGTGGTAAGATCTTGAAAATCCAAGTGTCATACTTCATCTTTAAACTCATTCACTCCTCTTACACCCATGTGTTCATGAATCATACTCT